CCTGTGGTGTGGTGGGGACATTTTAACAACCCCTAGAGGCTATCGGGTGTGGACGGGAGAATTCGGAGCTCCTGGGACCAGCAGTTAGCGTAATGGTTGTGTCGCTGACTCCCATGTAGTTGACTGTGGTTTGTATCCTGGACCCACTGGCTTGGAACTCACGCCGGGCGTGTGTGCGTGTGTGCCCAAGATCCAGAGGGGAGAATGGAGGAGAAGGGATTGTGGCATGGCCATCACCAGTGTCCCCTCCATCATGTTTCAGCTCCTGCCCGCATTATGCCAAGCCCTTTAGTGATATGTCCCATGATCCTGGAGACTGCAGATAGCAACAATTTATTGTCTAACACACCACAGTGAGAAGAAAAGATTTTAAATGTTTGCTATACAAAATAACGGCAACTGCTTGAGGTCAGGAATGTATTAATTATCTGCATGTGATAATTACTTATACTCTGAAATACCCCACCATACTCCATAAATATGTACAATTATCGTGTCAACTAAAAATAATAAACTCATTGAAAAAGACAGCCAATGCCTTTACTAAGATTCAGCATCACTCCCCCTGTGTGTGCTCTGAGGTTTCTGCATAGCAGATTCAGCGACGGGCAAAGGCCTGGCCACAGGCCCTGGGGAGTATTGAACCGACTAACACATCTTTCTCTCGCAGTGGCTCCTGCTCCCCACTCTCTCACTTGGGCACTTTTCTCCAGCCAGCAGAGCAGTACTCTCAGGAGAACGTGACTCGACGTCTCACCGAGCGATTGTGGATGTTTTCCCCACAGACTGCAGGAGTCGAGAACGGCTCGCAGGCTTTGCTGCAGACACCCGACAGCCCCGCTGGGCTCAGTATAGCTATGGGGACAAGAAAGCCAAGGATCCAGGCCACCTAGGCAGTAGGTATGTACAGACAGCCAGCGGCTTCCGGCCACTTCCTGCAGATGTGTTTCCAGTCTGCGACTTGTAACGGTAGGTGACTTATTTACGTAGAGGACGAGTTCCCTGCAGAGGAGGAAGCGCGGCTATGTTCTGGGACGCCTGTGCTCCAGCTGTGCATGGAACCACAGTGGGCTGTCCCAACAAAGTGAAAAACATTGCACATGACAGTGCTCTTTTAGACTCTCATTCTATTTTTATTTATTGATTTTAGAGTTTTGTCATAGGGCATGTATGCCTGCTGGAGAGAGAGAAAGGAGCAGAGTGAGAAATCATTCCTTGGGGGTTGGCCGCACTGCAGTCCCTTCTCCGCCATTCTCCTGTGGGGATTTTGGTCTTGCATGCACACACACCTGGCATGTTTTTCTAGCCATGTGGATGGTATTTGATTCATTGAGTTTGCCACGTGGGACCCAGTGCCATAATCACCACGCCACTTGCTGACCCACTATTTTAGACGTGTTAAGCCACATTTTGGGTTTTGGTAATTTTCAAATGCTTCAGAATATGAGACAGCAGGTTGTGTATTAGAGAGGAAATGACAATTTAAGCTGGTTTAAATTCATGAATGCTGTATTGCAAGAATTAATTTGTGACCAAGATGGAATATTTTTTAACCCTTAGAAAGTAAAGAAATGTTGAGACCAGCAGTTGGTGTAATGGCTATGTTGCTGGACTCCCATGTAGTCGACCACAGTTTGAATCCCGGACCCGGTGGCTTAAACTCACGCCTGGGCACATGTGCGTACACGCCCAAGATCCTGAGAGGAGAATGGAGGAGAAGGGGTTGCAGCGTGGCCATCCCCCCCAGAGGGTGATTTCTCACTTTCTATCTCTCTGTCTTTGTCTTTCTGGCGAGCACGCATCCTATAGCAAAACTTCTCAAAAAAAAAGAAAAGGAAAAAAAAAAGAAAAGAAAATTGAGAAATGTCAGTCTTATTTTTGAAATCTCTTAAGACGTCTTTCGTGAAACTTACATATTATCTTGACATATAGCTTGTTGTTGTTGTTTATAGAATTTCTCCTTACTATTGACATGGAAACTTCCACAAACAGAAATGAACCTTGTGCATTCATATTTGGTGACTCCTCACTGAGTAACATTCAGTATATGCTCATGTAATTAAATGACCAAAATAAACATTGCAATTCACAGCTGCAGAGATTAGTTCAAGGAGTGTGTTCAGTGTCTGTTTTCTTTTTTTTTTTATTCATTTTCTACATTAATTCCCTATACACCATCACAACACACAAATGAATTTTCCATCCAAAATATACTGTGCATTGGCTCAATCAAGCACATCAACATACATGTTCTCAGCAAAATAATTTTCCAATTCTTATGTCCTGCATACCTTGCCTTTTGTTTTGCCATCCTTGATTCACCATCCCCCACACTCTGCTATGTCCCATCCTCCTCCCTCCTTGTCCCTGGCATCCATGGTTGCCCTCCATGCCC